CATTCACACCTGTACAAAATAAGCCCCTCCTTCACCTGGAATTTACCACCCGGTAAAAAATCTCTGCCTTTAATGAATGAAGCTTATTTCAACTTTTATTACACGATATAACACAACTTGGGGCAGTTTACGCTTTATAAACCGCGAAGCGGTTTAAAAAAAAGCGTAAACTGCCCCAAGTTATGTTATATCGTATAACATAAGTTGAAATAAGATTCATTCCTTATAATTTGATTTCAATGTAGACAATGAGACAATTTTTCCATTTTTTTCCTTCGGAAAAAGGCTTCAAATATCGCATATTTTAAAAGTTAACGTCAAGCGGAGTAATACGTTTTTGACGTAACTCATTGTGACTTAGGCAAGTTATGTTATATATATTTATTACATACTTAGTAATAAATACAGGATTTTTGCATATGTGATATGCCTGACCTCACAATAGCCATATCACCCCTGCAGGGCTGATATGGATTTGCAGGGCTGATAACCTATGTCAGCCATGCAAATCCATATCAGCCCCGCAGGGATGATACGGATCATTATCACAACAATAAATTAAAACAAAAAACCCCCACAAAAACAGTACTTGTGATCATACATAATTTTTTAATTGGTTCATAATCTCTTAATTTTAAATTTTTGAAGATAAGGATAATGTAATTTGCATTGAAATAGAAGTAGAAACAAACCCAAACCGTTGAGACAATAGACCATGTACATGAATGAAAGAAGTGCATGCATGATTATGCACTTATTTTAATGTGTGCTGTATTTTATTACTAAGTATGTAATAAACATAATAAAACATATCCTTTCCACATCAAATCCTGTATCAGCCCGAGACACCAATATCAGCCAGAGGGCCGAAGGCCCTCTGGCTGATATTGGTGTCTCGGGCTGATACAGGATGTGATATGGAAAAGGGTATGTATTATTCTCTATGTAAAATGGATAAAACCGTTTAACGAATCAAATGACGTGTTACAACTAAAATTAAATTATAACCAATAGCAGCACTGGAGTGTAAATATTTAAGTAAAGCATTCTTTTATATGGAACGCCGTAACTGCCTTATGTGGAGAACTTTCATTATATGCTGGTACTTTGACATTATATGATGGTATTTTATCATTATATGATGGTATTTCGTCATTATATGATGGTATTTTATCATTATATGATGGTATTTCGTCATTATATGATGGTATTTTGTCATTATATGATGGTATTTTATCATTATATGATGGTATTTTGTCATTATATATATGATGGTATTTTGTCATTATATGATGGTATTTTATCATTATATGATGGTATTTTGTCATTATATGATGGTATTTTATCATTATATGATGGTATTTTGTCATTATATGATGGTATTTAATCATTATATGATGGTATTTTGTTATAATATGATGGTATTTTGTCATTATACTACTTCTCATTATACTACTTTTCTTTATACTACTTTTCTTTATATGCTACTACTTTTTCGTCATTATTTGTAGTCTCGATCATCCAGACGCTTGTCTATAACACAAATTCGCTGTTCCTAGACTGGCAGTACGAAATCGAGGATCAGACAGGTAAGCCAGTCTAGGTATCGTAACAGTATTTCACTTGGGTTCACGTATTTCACTTGGGTTCACGTCAAATCATGGCTGACGCAAAATAATCTCGGAATCTTCCCTTCCGATTCGGGCATTTTGATACGAGAATGGAGCTGAATTTTTTTTATGAGATGAAAAACAACATGTAAACTTCCTGTATTGACCAGATTTATTAAAATTTAATGCGTGCTGATTTTTCTATATACTGTCAAGAGTGGGGAGTGATTAGGCCCTGGACTAGATTTTCAAACACCTGCTCGACTTCTATATATCTTCAAGAGACCATGCGTAAACAATATTGTATACAATAATGAACAAAGAACATTGAATTTAAACTCCTGGCTCCAGAATCATAAAAACATAACTTAGACTTAAGTCAAAAATTATGGAATTTATATCTTCATTTGCACATAACAACATCTCTGTGAAACAATATTAAAAATATTTTAATTCTGGTTTGCTTGACTTTACAACATTTTATTATAAAATAAAGATTTTGATCGACTTAAGCTTAAGATGTTTCAAGATCCCGGGGCCAGCATTTTTCAAGTAATGTTTTGAATGACCTAACTGATTTTTTTGTTGCGGTCGAAGTCGAGCAGGTGTTTGAAAATCTAGTCCAGGGCCTAATCACTCCCCACTCTTGACAGTATATAGAAAAATCAGCATGCATTGAATTTTAATAAATCTGGTCAATACAGGAAGTTTACATGTTGTTTTGCATCTCATAAAAAAATTCAGCTCCCTTCTCGTATCAAAATGCCCGAATCGGAAGGGAAGATTCCGGGATTATTTTGCGTCAGCCATGATTTGACGAGAACCCAAGTGAAATACTGTTACCAATCGCATCATCTCGGGTCTTTCCGTTAGAGGTCGGAAAACAATCTTGAATGTATTAACATCACCGGATGTTAAAAATTTATATATTTCCTGTATAAAAAATAAGGATAGACGGAGTTAGAAGCCTCTTCAATAGGATATTTTAGGTAATATCATTACATTAAATAAAGTTAAACTCCATATTCCAGAGATAAATGGTCTCCATGCATTTATTTCAAAGATCGTGAAAAGGGAGGGTTGTCATGGCGTCTACCATATACATTCGAGGTCGTTTCCCGCTAGTCGGAAAGGCCCGAGAAGTTGCGATTGATATTGTTACGACACCTAGACTGGCTTGCCTGTCTGATCCTCGATTTCGTACTGCCAGTCTAGGAACAGCGAATTTTTGTTATAGACAAGCGTCTGGATGATCGAGACTACAAATAATGACGAAAAAGTAGTAGCATATAATGAAAAGTAGTATAATGAAAAGTAGTATAATGAAAAGTAATATAATGACAAAATACCATCATATAATGACAAAAAACCATCATATAGTGACAAAATACCATATCATATAATGATAAAATACCATCATATAATGATAAAAAGTACCAGCATATAATGAAAGTTCTCCACATAAGGCAGTTACGGCGTTCCATACTTTTAAATGATTCATTATTATTCTTGCATATTCTTATGAAGTGCGAATGCTGGATTAAAGGAATCATATGTTGTTGTATGATGTTTATGTCGACTTGTCAGATGGTTAAACATCGACTTGCCAAACACTTAAGTCACATGTCAGATAAATAAGTTGACTTGCTATTTTTATCGACTTGTCATCTATTCATATCCCTAACACATTTCAATTCAGTAAAATAGTGGCTGTGCGCAGTTGTTATGATGGGGAACCACTTTTCAGATCTTTTGGTCGATTTGTCAGGTATTTATGATTATTTGACTTGTAAGTTAAATACATGTATAACGACTTGCTAGCTGTTAAGATTTTGTCAGATGATTTAATATGTTGACTTGTTGAATCTTTATGGAGATTTGGCAGTTAATAATCAACATCAGTATCTTGTTGTTGAGGGGTGTTTATGTTACTTACTAACATTTTCTTGTCACGATAATATTTGAAAAGTAGACAGACATGTCTAAAAGTTAATCGGATTAAAATGACAAGTCAACATACTAGTATTTTTTGACATGTCGTCATATTTATCTGACAGATTTACGTGATTTTCCTAAGTTTTCTTGTTAAATGTCATGTCGACTTATCAGATAAATATTACTAGCTAGATGATTGTTTCGACTTTTCAGATGATAATGTCGACTTGTCAGATCCTCTGAATGGTAAGAAAATGTCAACTGGTTCGCACAAGCTGGGCATGAAGAGTTTCTAACCACGTTATTAACCGTCAGGTAAACAACAAATCCGACAGGTCGACACTTTTCTGACGAGTCAATTGCAAAATAAACATCTTACAAGTCGAAATAAACATATGACAAGATTTCGATAACTCGAACACTCTGTTATCTTCAATCGGTAGAGTTCGAGATACCGAAATCTTACTGTTACATGGTAAAAATTTCCATCAGCTGAAATCAAGTTCAGTTATAAATATTGTTTTAAGCATTGTATATATGTAATATATTATTATAGAGAAAACTGCACTGTACTTATATCAGCGGAATATCGTTCATTATCGATTTTAAATGCATTTATGAGAATTTTCCCAACACTGTCTATTTTCATAAGAGGAGAGAACTGTGCGCGATAAACTGAGTTAACAATCATCACGCGCTTGCAGATATTTGTTTAGAACCAGATAAATCTGTTTTTGGTAATAAAGCATAACTTGCGAGAGAAATTCAGTTCTTGGGCCCAGTAATTTTTATCGCGATGTTTATTGACCTAAAAAGCTCCTGCATTGTAAATCCCTACCGGTTTTCTTTTTCTAATGCGTAATACAAAACGTATCAATAAAATTATGTGTACAATAAAAACGAAATATTGTTTGTCTATAAACAAACTATACATATAGTATTTGAATACACACGAATATATACGTTAAAAATAGTGGAACTTTAAATGATTTTAGAATGCATCAACTGAAAAAAGGGTTTGTTAATTCTAGACGTCAGGGTCAAAAATATGCACCTGACACAATTTGAATACAAATATTGCTGCAAACTTCAAGAAGTATTCATATGGCTGTGGTCTAACTGATTGCACCCTAAGCCCAATTAAGATACAGAAACAGACAAAATTTAATGATACTAGTTCTTAGAATAACCAAATATTTTTGTTAATTTTAAAGTGGAATCGATTTCAACGCCGTCATATAAAAGGTATAGTACTATACGGTCGAAAATCTGGAACAAACAACACAAGGCACATCTGTTGCAATCAAATTATCAATAATACATATGCAACTGTATGAGACTGTTGATATGTATTTTGCTCTGTAATGGTGACTATGAACAGTACATCATGTTTTCTCTGATTTCTCTCATACATGTAATGAATTATTATCTATACACAAAAATCGAAGCCCGTAGTAAATTTTACAATTTTTATTTGCTTTTTTATAATTTTTTTATTCACCCATTCGTTATATATTCTTTTTTTCAAGCAACCTTTTTAAAATTTACAAATTGTTCACATTTTCCAACTCTAAATGTTCCAAAAAGTTTTTTTTTCAATTTTAAAGGGTGTTTCACTGATTGTCCTTTTGAACTTTGACCTTAAGAGTCAAGGCGGCGGTCATATTCATACTCTCCCAATCCACTTCCGACTCTCTTCAGCTGCGTGATGTGGTCAGAAATCTCCTTAATGGCGTTAACTTGCTCCTCCAAGTAATGAGTTTCGATGAAATCAGTCATCTGTAATTCACAAGAGTTGTTACACACAATGTAAAAATTTAAAAACTATCAAGATCTCAAGCGTAAAAACTGCGCTTTGTATATTTTTTTACCTGCGCATCCTTGTGGGAGTCGGCGACCTTGTGAAGGTCAAGAAGAGACTGGTTCACAGTCTTCTCAAGCTGAAGCGCCACCTGCATGGCATCCAGGCCAGTACCCCACTCATCACGGTCGGGTTTCTATAAAGTAATATAAAAAACATTAGAACACTATATACTGTATACCTATCCGTATCATATTTTTTGGGTGAATCTGCCAATTATTTCCGCGTTTGTACTATGATACTTAGCACATTCTGTGTTCTACTCTATTAATTTTACTACACTTTTAGTACACCTGTACCACTGACCTTGATGTCCTGGAGGACAATGCGCCCCCCTCTCGTATTCTGGTACTTCATCAGCCTCTCGGCGTGCTCTCGCTCCTCGTCAGAAGCTTTCTTGAAGAACTTGCTGAATCCAGGGAGAGCCACATCATCACGGTCGAAGAAGTAGGACTATAACAAGCAGACGATTACAGATATTTTGTATCTATATTGTAGAAAATGTACAACATAAAAACATAGTGTTTTTGATGTCGAAAAACATTCAAATATGGCACGTGTATCGAAGTTAACAGACTACAACAAGCAGACGACAAATCTTTAAATCTTAATTTGGACGTTAATATGAGTAGAGATAACAAAACCTAAAAACATCCATTATCTAAAGTTGTTTAGATTCATTGAGTTCTTAAAGTGGAATTCCTTTACTTTAGTCCTATACATGCACGTTAACAGAAATACTTTCTTGAGTTTCAAGTTAAATTAATTAATAATGAATATTTAAAATGAGTTGACTTACCATGGATTGGTAGGTATAGCAGGCGTACAGTTCCATGTTGATTTGGCGGTTAATGCCAGCCTCGCTCTCTTGGTGGAAATTTTGACGACATTGTGCTTCTGCCATTGTTGGTATTAGTTTCCTTTGGCTGATGGTAAAAATAAAAATCTCTTGTATTAAGATGGATTTAAGATTTTTGGTTTGCCCGTACGTACACTGACGCAGCAAGACAAGGTATAGCGTGATTATGGCTGTCGTCTGCTTTTATACCACTCGGAGTCACCTTTCAAGGGAGCAAAGTTCAAAGATTACCCTTCAATTGTCAATACATAGTTTAAGCAGAGCGCGGTCACGTTGCAAAATTATACAATTTGACAGGTATCTTTTGAACGTTTGTAAACAATAAATACTTTATATATATCAGCAATGTTTGTTCATATTAATTCAGGTGACCTAAATTATATGTATATAGGAGAACAACAACAAATATTTAATGCTGTAGACTTTTCGATAAAAATTGCTTATAATTTAATTATATCAGATTTAAGTTCAGTCACCTTCGCCGTGAGGTTATAATTTAGTTTTAAATTGAGAACATGGATACGCAAAAATGAAGATCCTTTAAAATGCGATTGTGGAATTTTAGGGAAACTCTAATTGCTGTCTAATGACATTAACATCAATTAAACTTTACGAAATTTCTTTTTTAAATTGTCAAAGTAAAGACAAAAAATTAAAATAAATTTTACGGTGAACAATATTCTTGTTTATGCTTCATGAATACAAGTAAAAATGTGATGTGACATCATCGTTAATAATAAGCGATTCTATCATCTATGTATATTTACTTCAATTTTGAAGTGTTGTTTTTCTTCATGTCAATGTACGAGTTAACCTAATTGTTGTGGAGGGCCCTCTCATCGTCTTAAACCACGGTACGGAGTTTGCTTATAGCTCTCTCCTACCACAATGGGAGAGGATCGTACATTTTGGCCGTGGTTTGCAACGATGGTGCCCTCTATGAAATGTACATTGTAAAGAATACTTATGGTTAATACTGCGTACAGGCATTTAATATACAAGTACAAAAAACATACAAGCGAAATGCATTTTAAACAAAAACATTCCAATAAAAACTTACAAAAAGAAATTTACACGTTTCTTAACGCACGATCACGCAGATTAAAACCGCAAAATATACACGCAGCGGCATCTCGCACGTTACAAACGATTACACGAACTTAATTGGTTTGTCAACAATAACGTTGCAGCCACTGTAAGTACATGAGTGTAAGAGCAATATGCACTCACAAAACTTTGCTTAATTATTTAACAACTTGAAGGTTCAAGCAAATAATACCGCGGTTTTTGTTTTCACAGAGAAGGGAAAACACTTGCAGTTTCAAAATATATTAATCGTTGTTATAATTTTTAAAGCAAATAAAAATTTATTTGGGAAGATGCACTACAAAAGAACTTTCACAGGGAAAAATACTTTTTTTTTAAATGAAATTTTCGATTTTAATTGCAATTTCTGTCAAATTTCTCCCCGCATAAAATGCTACTTAAAGCTGTGCTTTAAAAAAAAAATAATTTCTTAAAAAAAAAAACAACAAAAAACATAAACGTTCGAGCAGAATTTTGTACGTGTGAACAGAGGGATTACATGATCCTATTTTGATAAATAACATTGTATAAATTAAACAAAATTTACAGTATATAATCGGAGCCCATGGTAACTGATTTTTATAGAAAACTAAGGTCCTCAAAGAACCAATACACTTGCAAAAATATTTCCATGCCCTCAGAATTCAACTATTAGACACAGAGTTACCATAAAATGCACTAGTTTTCTTAAAGAAAAAATTGTAATGAATTACAAGGTTAAAAGCAATTTCCCTCCCATTTTGTCAACATTTCGTGTGCTGTCGTCAAAATAAATCTAAACTTGCAATTCCGTGAAAACTGTTAATTTGTTCAATTTTACCCTGTAAGTAATTTAGATAAGATGAACCTAGATTAAATGATATCATTATCATGTTTTGTATGTTTATTTGTTTTTAATCTTTATTTTTTTAACCAGGTATAATTGTATTTTTATCATCTCGTTTTTTTATAGCACAATTCGACTTGCCATGTTTTTTTTTTTAAAAAGGTGACATTCACTTTTACCTGATAGATCGTATCCGTATTTTCGTTAATTTTTTAAAAGTTACAACTGAACATAAATTATTGTTTTATTTATACAACCGTTTCGCAAATGTGAATTTCTTAGCAGAAAAAAGTCGAACATAAGAAAAATGTCTTCTTTATTTGCTGGTCAAATTTGCTATAATTTATTTTCCTTATAGAACCAATAGTCACGTGCACAAATTACGTTTTCTTTTCTTTCTTCTATATTTTTTCCATCCCTTTGAAGATTGCTTTAAACATTATTCACAATTATTAAATTAAAAAACATTACTTTAAAATAGAACTATTTGGTATTCTAAATTGCTTCAATGAACATTTCAAACGCAAAATATTGTTTTTGTAAAAGTAGTGAGGGGATGAGGGTGTTATATTTCTTGCCTTTCCCTGCACTTGCTCTGATATTTGCCAATTTTTAGCTTTTTGAATTTTATATCGTATGTTTTTAACATGTAAGAAATTTTTCAAAGAAACTTTTCCCCTTATTTTTTCAGTAAAGGCGAGTGTCTACAAGCAAATGTCACATGAGTATATTTACAAAAGAAAAGCAGTTCCACCACTGACAATAATGTTTACAATGCATTTTTGCGACGCATTTTATCTTATATATTCTACATAATATTTTGTATTTATATCTTTATGAGGATTACGATAAATTTTCGACACAAAAATTTTCTCTTTAGAAATTTTTGTGTTGAAAATCCACATACATGTACATACCTTTAAGAGATGAGACGTTCTCCAAGAAAAAAATTTAAAGAAAAATTATTGAAGCTAGAAACTTCTCTTTTCATTGGCTTGCGTTGTTATTATGACGTCATCGTGGTTTTAGATCGAATAGTGACGGTGTTGTTAGTAACGAACGTTAGCGGACTTTTAGAAGCGGACGGACGTGTTTTACGATAAGTAAAAAACTTCTGCATCAACTGCTAACTGAACTGACCATCAAGTCAAAGAAATGACTGAAAGTGGAAATAAGATGGTAAATAGAATTTTGTATACGTTTTAGGCATTCCGATTGATTCAGTTCTTTCTAAAAAAGATTATTTTTCGATTTAGAACAACTGAAAAAATCAAATGAAATGTTTTAAAGTTGATATTTCTTATCATTGGTAAGTATTTCTAGGTGCATTCGGATGTAAGTTACAAAGCGTTATTTTTCAATACAAAACAGCGAAGAAATATTTTAAAACTAAAAAAAATGATTGGATAGGGGTAGAGGAGTATATTCTTCGGGGCTAAAAGCTTTTTATATCAAATTTTATGGTTTTCTTAAATAAATGTACAATAATTCAGTAATTATCCGAAGGAAAATTTGATTTAAAATTTAATTTACGTACTCAGCATATTCCAAATAATAATGATAAAATAAATGAAAAAGTTGATAAAGATTGGTGCAGAAAGAACTATATATATAATTTCTTTAAAACCCGCTAAAATATCCGCTTTCCATTTTCCATTACGTCATAATAAAAGCAAAAAATAAACAAACCAACAGTCTCTCAAGTATCGGTAAGAATTCTTTTGATTTTTGGTTAGGATTAATTTTTCTCTTTCAAGTAAACAAATATTCGATACGCTAGCAACCTATTTTTAGAACTTGTTGTTTGATTGGTTAATTGGTTGATGACGTCGCCGTTGCTTAGATCAATAATTACGTTATAGTTACGCTTCATTTGTTGTCAGAAAGGCAGAGTTAGCAGACGCGCTCTCATTGCTCTTGACAGATTTTGGAAACAAGCGTTTTCAACACAACCTAACAGATAAAGTGATGACTGAAATCGGAAATAAGACGGTAACGCATCGATTGACAATTTAAAATTTTAGGCAAAGTTTGTATGTAAAGTTTCAAACAAACTGCTCCGTCAACCAGAATATAACTTACCGATGTGGATAGACATTTCTTTTTTCTTTAGCTATAAACATTTATATTAGAATAAAATTAAGAGAGTATAAAGAATAAAACATAATTCAAAATTGGAATAAGCGATTTCTATTACTCAAAAAAAAAATAAATAAAAGTTTGTATGATGAGCTTAGGTAGACTGGAGTGTAAAACGTAATGATTATACTTAAACTACATATTGTCAAATTGAATTTGCTTTAAAGACATTTTTTTTAAAAATATGTGTACAAAAGGTTGCTGACTACATGTATGTTATTATTTTACACATGTATACCTCGTAAACCACTTCACATTCCTCGTGTCCGTCCTTACTCTCTGTATCTCTCTGTCTGTCTCTCTGATGTGAATAAATTTAACCTTGTCCATAACTTTTGATTTAGTTGAGCTATGACTTTCATATTTCATATGTGTATTCCTTGTGACAAGACCTTTCTTTGGGTACCACCAAATTTGACCTTTTGACCTTGACCTTGGAGTTTGACCCACTTTTACGTGAAAATTTTAAACTTTTACTTTGGCCAGATCTTTTGAACAGTAGATACCAGGACATTTATACTTCACATATGTAATGTTTGTTGAAAGACCTTTCATTGGATACCAACAACCTTGACCCTTTGACCTTGACCTTGTAGATTTCTGTACTTATGAAAAAACTTTAACCTTGGCCATAACTTTTGAACGGTAAGATATAGGGCTTTCATACATTATTATATATGTAATTTTTGTTAAATAGAATTTTATTGATTAATACCAAGCACGTTTTTACCCTTTGACCTTGACCTTTTTTTTGACCTACTTTAAAAAAGCAAACCTTGACCATAAATTTTAAAGGGTTAAGGCTAGTGCTCTCATACTTTAGATATTTCATCCTTGTGACAAGACCTTTCATTTGCTAACAAGAAAATTTGACCCTTTGACCTTGACCTTACCATGGTTTTGACCTACTTCAAAAAAAATTTTAACATTGGCCATAACTTCTGAATGGTTAGGGCTAAGGCTGGCCCCCCCCCCCCGGATGCTACTCTACATAAGCATTCTATGTGGCAAGATCTTTCATTGGATACCGATTACCTTGACCCTTTGACCTTGACCTTGGAGATTTTGCACTGATTGAAAAAACTTTAACATTGGCCTACTTTCAAATTTCACAATTGTTTTCCAGTGAGAATACCCTACTTTTGGTACCATTAAATTTATTTGCATTTAAGAAAAGTTTAATCTTTGCTATGTTGCCATACGGGGGCATCAGTGTTTCACAAACACATCTTGTTTTACACATGTATACCTCGTAAACCGCTTCACATTCCTCGTGTCCGCACTTATGTTCAAAAGATGTATATAATCTACTGATAATAACTGATATGAATAAATTTAAAGAGGAATGAGTGCCCATCTCAAATCAGGTAGCAGCCAATTGTGTATTTTTGATTGAGACCGAATAATTCTTAAAAACGAATGAAATGTTTTGGAAATTTTTAAAAGACTCGAGCTCCATTAGCAGTCTAAACAAATTGTTCGAAACAGGAGCTTGCATGGGATTTCATCACATAAATTATTGATTGGTTTTTCTAGTACAGTTCGTAATCACTCGTGTGTTTATTGAATACCCCCCTCCCCTGATTTGACTGTAGTCCACGGCCCCGAGTGGACCCCTGACGTCGTGAGAATCCAACCCTAACCCTGTACTTTTTTGTGTATTCCTGTCATAATTTCAAAGTCTGACTACAAGAAATTATAGAAATATAGATTTTGATATATGTTTCATATAAATGTATATAGAGTTTTTTTTTTTTTAAATCTGTACTTTTCATTATTTCAGGATAAATTTGCCGACCTGGAACGCCAGATAGCTGTATTTCTAAAGACAGAAAAGGAATACGTGAGTAATTTAGTGGGCATGTGGAATGAATGTTTAAAAAAAAATCGTTTTTGCTCTTTGCTTTGATATGAAACATCCCCATCATTATTAAATTAAATTCTTAAATTTTTATTTAAATTTTTGAATTTTATGATGTTTAATGTAAAGCGAGAAAAACATATCTTTTCAGTCAATTGTTCTGGAATCTTTGGAGGCCTTAGCGACCCCCGGGAAGGCAGTACCTCGGCACCCCAAGAAAGAATTCAATTCTCGCTGGAAAGCTATTGAGGTAAGTGTTTTTTAATTGGTTTTCGCCTCCAGTAAAGATAAAGAAAAAATTAATTAAAAAAATACATTTATATGTACAAGTCATGCCTTGTTAAAGGTTAGACTCTGTGATGATTTAAACTTATGTAATACACAATCATTTATTTCAAGCATACTGACACGTACATGTACATAGAAGGATTATCTTAAACATTTATATATTTTTTTATTTTTAGGACGTGAAAACCAAAGCAGGTTCTAGAAAGGCCAAGTCGTCAATTTTAGGGGTGGGTGTGATTTATAAGAGAGAAAAAAATTATGCACCGGCACCAACGGTGGATCGATCTTCCTAATTAACATTTATTTGAAAGAAAAACAAGAGATCGATTGGACAAATACCTAAAATAAAAATGCTTGTTATTATATTGTATATGGGCATCTAGATCTCTCAACGTAAGAAAAAAGCAAAGTTGCTTTCATCAAGCGAAATATTGGTATGACTGAATAGGAAATATAAATAGCATAGACTCTTACAACTTTTTTTTTTAATTCAAACTTAACGTACCTTTTTGTGCTTCTATGAGGATATTTTTATATTTAAATGAGGATACATTTATGAAATATTTTTCCTTTCTTATTAGGATGTGCACAGACGAGGCACAGGGCCATACTTAAATAAACCAAACAGGACAATATCTGCTGCTACTGACTTGGTATGTACATGTATCAGTTAACTGATGATTGTAAAACCATTACTTAGTTAACATGCTAATAATATACAATTTTACTACCATGTGCTTTGCAAATGTTCATACAGAAATATGCCAATTTATGTTCTTGCAGAACTGGAAAAGCCTTTTATTCCTGATTAAATTAGAATCAATTTTATCGTATATGACGTCTTACTCTATATCTCTTATATGATTTTTGAAGAATTCTTAGTAAAAAAAAATCCCCAAACCAAGTGAATGAAAGAGGGATTTCTGCATGGGTATTATTTTTGCAAAGTGAACTTAAATGTTACTTTCTAATTTTTTTCAATGTTTCTACTGTTCTCAGTTTTTTTTATATTCAACCTTTTTATTTCTTTGCAGCCATTGACCACAGAAACCACCAGCCCTCCAAAGCCCGTCCCCAGTAAAGAGTGCCCTCCAAAACCCTCTCCCAGTAAAGAGTGCCCTTTAAAGCCTGCTCCCAGTAAAGAGTGCCCTCCAAAGCCCGCCCACAGTAAAGAGTGCCCTCGACACCTCAAGAAGGAGATTCGTCAAAGATGGGAGGCTGTGGAGGTGAGGCTTATTTATTTTAATGATTAAGATTCTATAGAATATTTGATGTATTCTAGTATGTGTTGATGGAAGACTGCGAATTTAGTTCTGTTCTTAAATTGGCATAAACAGGATATTGGTATAAATATATTTTTTGAACGTGATCTTTTTTTAATTTTAGGATGTCACCACCAAAAGGGACTCCCTTAAGGCCAAGTCCTCTATTCTGGGGGTTAGTATGATCGATAGAGGAAATGTTTCATTCACACACTTTTGTAAGGATATTTATATCCACGAAATATTTTTTTTCTCATCTTAGGACGGTCACAAGAGAAGAGGGCCCTATGCCATATATTCCAGCAGGAAGACTGTGGTCACTTCTGACTTAGTGAGCATCATTTAAATTACAGCTTACTTATGATAATTTTCAATCTAGTTTGTTATATCAATAGGTCATTATTCTCAAACATGAATGTTGAAGTTATGAATGAAAATTGATTTTTTTTAAATCAATACATGTATTTTTTTTTTTTGAAACATTTCTGTAGACTAAAGAAAGCATATTTTCTCTACACAGAAAAAAGAGGCTACAATTGATCCCCTCAGAAGCCTCCCAAAACAGGAAGGGTCAAAGACAGACAAAAAACCACACCCTGTCCATGTTTCTGTAAGTACCCTCATCTTACATACCTTTTCATCCAATGTGTTCCTGGAGTACTGCCGGAATAGGCCGTAAACAATTAATATACTCTAAAACCTTAAAATTAAAGAAAAAATAAAACCATGCTAGAAAAAGAAAGGAAATTGATTGACCTTTCGAAAAATATGCATTCATGAATTTTAAATATGTCTATGTTCACTTGTATAATCTTCAGGACCAAGAGAAGTCTAACAAAAGGAAAAGACCAAGCTCCCCCGATACAGCAAGCAAGAGGTGGAAGCCATCAAAGGAAGTAAGTGTTTATCGTATATCTACATATGTTTGTTTTTTATTTGTTTGTTTACCTCATTTTTTCTGAGAGAATTGAAATGTATTTTAATATATAAACTACAAAATCAATAATGTACATCTTTATTTTGTGTTGTCCTAATAGATTTTTTTGTTTTTTATTAAAAAAAATTCAATTTCCTTTCAGTTTTCCCGATTTGAGAAGATTGAGAAGAAGGTTAGGAGACTAACCAGGGCCCTACGAAAACTTACATTGTAGTATAATGGGTAACCAATTGTGTTACTGTGGACATTTTATGATTTTTGCATTTTTCCCCTCCGATATTTCATTTTTATGATCTTTCTGGAAGGGACGTTATTTCTCCACGTTCTTTTTATTTTTCATTTTCCGAGATAATACTTTTGTATGGGGTTTTTTTTTTGGTTGTTAGTTGCTTGTTTGGTGCATTAATTTTATTTCGTTTTTGTTGATCGATTGCATTTATTAAAATTGCTGCATCTTTATTTTTTGGTGAAAATATTCTTTGAATTGTATTTATTAAAGTGTTTGGCATCTTTATGTTTTGGTTTATTTTATTATTTTTTTTAGTTTATGTACATTGTATTTTTTTTTCGAGGCGACATAGGCATTTTTTAAATTTTCCTCCCAAAGATGGTAAGATTTTCATTTTTCAATAAAGTGCTTGAAAATTATAAAGTCTCTTTCATGTTGTTTGTCATTTTTAAAATCAATGCATAGGTTGTATATTCTACACGGAACAGATGAATTTAGAAAAGAAAGAAAGCGTTTGACCATCATACATCAGTGTAACTTTATTTCCCGGCGGCTCGGGAGAAAGGGGCGTCCTTCAAAAATGGCCAATAACAAGTATATATAGTACAATAGAAAAAGAAACTTATTCTTTACGGCTTTTCTCTAAGAATTAATGTTTTTTGATCTTTTTTCTTCTTTTAGCTACAGGTGCTTGAGGACAAGAACTACCCCTCCCAATACCGATAGAGATATAGACCCCCGGGCCTTTACTACCTTTTTGACATAAATTATATATGGATGATACATTTGAGATACAATCTATTCTATCAATTCAGAAAATTTGCCTAAACAAACATATTATAAAAATTTCTATCCCACTCAAAATATATAAGTTGATTTTTATATATATAGAATGTAGGATAGAATTTATAAAACGTTTATTTTAGGTAATTTTTCGAATTTTGGTATAGATTTATCACAAATATGTCATTGAAAGATAATTTATTGGAAAAAGATTTTGGTATACATTTCATCACAAATATGTCATTGAAAGATAATTTATGGGAAAAAAAGTTGAAAAGGCCCTGGGGTCAATTTTGAACGGGGGTGGGGGGGGGGTGTTCCTGTCCTCATGCACCTGTGATTAAGATAGGCCATATTTTGATGTTACAAAGTCATTAATCTGATTGGATGGTGGCGAATATCAACTATAATAAAATAAGCTCTAGAAAACAGACACTAGGTGGATTCCCCCATTTTTTTTCTTTTTAAATATGGGCTCGACACAATTTTTCTCTATTTTGAAAGTCTAAAGCTAATGTGCACTACATGATACACGTATCGATAATGTAACCCTTTTGTCTCTATATGCTGTTTATATACGAAATCCGATGGGTATTAAAAAAGAAGGTACGTTAGGCACCAAAATCCGCCTAGTCCCAAAATCTGGTGATAATATTTAAATAGTTTGTCTTGAATACCCCTGTTCTAAATCAATTTATTTTTTGAAAATATCTCAAACCGTTTTCCCTACACAACTCACTAAAAATGCAATGTTTTCTTAAGAAAATAATACTGACGACGTCATGACGTTCACATGACGTTATCAAATTTCAACGTAATGATTTCGGTACAGCGTAAAGAATTGTACATTTCTCAACCTAAAAGTTTATATTCTCTTAAATAAATTCATATTTAAGTCTATTTCACTTTATTTTTTTTTATTTAATCTGTTCTAAACCTTTCAGGGTTTTTTCTTTATATGAACTGATATTTACAATACCGTGGTCATTTAAGGAGATAATTTTTCGAGAAAACTACATGTATTTCACCAAGAAAGCGTATTAATTGTAAAAAAATTTTCCCCTCTCCATTTCCCTAAAATTCAAGATATTAATTAAAATACTAAATTAAATTTTGAGATATCAGTATACCATACAATCATGCTTACCTTTTATTTACTTATTAGATATATACATGTACGAGAATATACATACACAATGATATGTATACACGCTTGAAAGCGCAAGATGTGCTTTTACTGCGTACAAAATCTTGACTGCAACAAAATTATCACAGTTTTTATGCCAACATTTTCCTTGAAATTTTTTCCTATTAAAGATTTATTTTTGATTAAGCTAAGACATTATCTATGCATTACTTTGTTTCGGTTTTATTACCACAGTATAGTAATTTTTAATAGTATATAATCATTATTGATATGAAGCTTAATAAGGTTACATATTTTTAAAAAAATAAAGAACCGACAAATATATTTACTAGTATGTTACGTGTCTGAAAGAGAAAATATTCCCAACAACGACAGCTATGTCATCCCCTGTCCTTTGACAATCACGCATACTCTGTATTTAGTATTTGTGGTAGTCGGGTCGGTTATTATGCTTCTATAATAATGTACATTACACATGTATTATTGTAAAGTGAAGCGGTCACCCATCCAAGAGTTAAACAGGCTCGCCATTGCTGAAAACCTGACTCACTAGTTACATAGTTATATAAGTTACATATATACTGTCCGCTACACCCCCCCCCCGGCTTACGGAAGCTTCGACCCTAAGCTTAGCATGAGTGACTGGACCTCTTCATTACCGGCAAATAAAGTCGTCCACGAATACAAAGTCCGTACCTGGACACAAAGTGCTAACCTTAGAGCTTCTTGATGCTAGCTCTAAGACTTCCTGAAGCAAAGTCGCCAAACAGCAGAGTCATAACGCTGTCATCAATTTTGTGAATTTCCGCGATTTTTAAATAGCCACGGTAAGCACTTCATATGCGTCCCCCACTTTTTTCCCTAATATATACTTAGCATAGACATTGAACAATGCTTCGTAGGTTTAGCCCCCCCCCCCCACTTTCCACAGACACGTCGCAGTATAGGTTAAAAAATGGGTGAAAGTGGTGGTGTTTGGAAAAAAAATTGGTACTGAAGTTCGAACCCCCCCCTCCCCCGGGAGTCCCCCCACGAAATAGGATTTTCGTGTTTGGGAAATGGATATCCCCCCCCCCCTTTTTTTTGGCTTGTCAGGTTTTTTTTTAAGGTATCAGGGGTGTGCAATTAGAAAAATCAATAACTAGCCCACGGGCTAGTGGCAGCTGTAAAGTTACTAGCCCCAAGTGAAAAGTTACCAGCCCAAATATAGGGGCAAAAATTAAAATAAAAAACTAGGGTCTATACGTTTAAAAGAAATTAATTGTTAAAAAAGTCAGGGTACTGAGGTCATTCTTTTTAAAATTAAAGTTTAATTCTCACTATGAAATTAAATCATGTGTAAATTATAATGAAAGAAGATTAAAATGAATTTAAATAAATTATCTTCCCTTTTTCTGAACATTGCACTAGCTCATTTAGAATGAAATTTAATTCATTTTGTTTTCATCTTAAATCATTAAATACACTATAAATATATTTTATGTGAGTCATAAAACACTTATCTTTCAGTTGATTGAGTGATCGTAAATAATTTAATGAGATATCTGCATGTATTTACCATAAACGAAAGAATAGAGGAAATTCGGATTAGGGAAAAAACGATCGTTTTTGGAAGTAAATAAGTCAGGTAGTGTTGCAAAACAGATAAGATTATGGAGATTTATTGAGAGTAGGAGCATGTTGTCAGAAAAATTTTCACTGGTTGGGAATTTGATAGCATTAAAACGAGTGAAAATACAGGTTGTGCTTTTTCATGTATTGCGTGTGTAGTTATAATTTTTACTAGCCCGACTGGCTACCTCCATGCAGAAAATCACTAGTCCGATCCCAAAAAGTGGTAGCCCCGGGCGTCGGGCGATGCTAATTGCACACCCCTGCGGTATTAAAATTTTTTTCACACTTAGCCCCCCACTTTCAATTTGCTTCCGATGCCAATGCACTTATCATCAAACGGTTGCCAAAACATACCTGCATTTACACGACATTGTATTTCCCTCCTTACATATGTACAAATGCATACACGTGCGAGACATAATATACGATGAATTTATTTTTAGAAAGTTCAATAATTTAAACAATGTTGATCTATCTTACCGATCAATAAAACCGATGTAAATAAGACAGTTGATCAAGGAGAAACACATTTTACTTAGCTCTCGGAATTTAGAGGTTCTCAACTGTACATGGTAAAATACCGTAAGTCGCGGAAAATCAAAAAATATAATCGCGGAAAAGCAGTAAATCTTGTTTTGGAAACGTCAGATGTTTTTTCTCGGAAAAGTTGTGTCGAATCGCGGAAAAGAGAAACTGTGAAAAGAACATTTAAATGTGTGATAGACTCTACCATGCTACAAAACATTCTCGCAGCTCTACATTAATAACACACAACTTTGTGCGTGCAACTGCACATATAGTCAATTTCAACTTTGTGGTGTGGATTCAGAACTTTTAGGAGTCTTCTTGGGAAACTGTGTAACAAGGTCACATCATAGAAGAGAACACACCCCCCTCTACCCACTACACCTCCCACCCCACCCCCAAGACACAATATTTTTGAAAACCGTTCCGTACAATTAATATATTCGTAGCATAGCTAAAACTAATGTCTTTTATCAAGTTTAATACAAAATTTTTTTTTTCATTTTTAACAGTGTGCCATATTTAATATATGTACATTTAATATATATCATAACAGAATATAAGTCAACATCAATAAAACTGAACTCTTATTATTATTATTAATTAAGGGACGGCCATTTATTTAATTTACGGTAGCGGTCGTTAATTTTCAGATTATTTACTTTTATACCGCTGTATGACAGAATGTGCTTTTCCAAGATGATTAGAGACAATTTTATTTCCCTGTAAATTTGACAAGCATAAAAATCAAAATTACGTAGTGTTTGGGACGGGTGTAGGTACCCCCAGTCAAGGTCAGTTTATTCTTCATTACTTCATTCCCAGAGGAGGATAGAGTATTTATTTGCAATAATGGCTATACGCCTGTTTGTTTTGTTTTGTTTTTTGAAAAACTGCACTACCCCCTTTCGAGAAGGAAATGCTCGTCCCCGTAAGAAGCTGTAAATCGATAATATTCCTCATAATTTTAGCGATTATAAAACACGTTTTATTACTGACAATGCAATGTGACAAAAAAGTTTGAAAAAAATCGCACTCTGAAGTTTTTTTTTTTCTAGCAATAGAATTAATTCAGTCTATTGTGAAAATGGCAATCTGAAGTCGGCCTTTCGCACATTTAGTCTAACAATCTTTTCTCGTCCAATATTGTTCTTGAAAAGATTTATAGAAGACGCCACCCTTTTATGTGTTTTCTTTTAATATCGTCAATTGAAATTCAATTGTATTTACTTATTTACTGCTGTCTGTGTTCAAGTCGACGAAAGAAAATTCCGAATCCGATTTTACACAACTTTTTTAGAACAATGACACTAAAATGCAATTGCTAAGTAAAATAAGAAAAGCAAGTCGTAAGAAGACAAAATGCAAGTGCAAGCCAGAAAATGAATATTTATTCATCTGTTTACTCTCAGGACTTATATATATATATATCATTTATTTATAACTCATTTAAATAACCCCTACAACTTTATTGTAATTTGTGGGGAAAAAAACAACAATGCGGAATCTGTTAAAGTATTGTTTGTAAAAGGAAAAACAAGGTGCACACAAATTGTCACGGGAAAGGACGGGGGGAGGGGGGATAGGTTAAGATTTTTTTTTTGCAAGAACGTTTCTGAAAGTTACGTGTGGAATTATTTGAGATTATTATACAGGTAAATTGTACAAAAAAAAAAATAATAAATAAAGTTTAAAAAAAAAACCGGTTCTCTCAAACGAAGGGGCGTGCTCCCCCCCCCCCCCACACATTTTATAATTAAATTACATTCTATACTTACAGTATAATGAACTTGTAACATGTATTATGCAATATGTACCACTAAATATACATAAAGGCATTGGTTTTTATTTATAATACCATTTTATGTAATACACTGAAAACAGTGAAGCCCACTTATATGATCTTTATACAATCGGGTGTACGAGATATTGATATTTACAGCGACAATGACTATAGTTCTGTTGGACAACTTACCTTGAAAAAATAAATCTATCATATTTTCTTTTTCTGGATTTCAGAAAGTATTTCAGAAGGAACATGCAACAATTTATTTGTTAACAATTTTACAAACATTTTTTTTAAATTTTAAATAAGTAGATCGATTGACTTTACTTGAACGTATTGAATATATTGATGGTGAAAACAATTAACTTTTCTCGTCCACATAATCTCAGGATCTCTTCACAAAATTTATAAATTGTCATATATCTTTCAAATTACTTTTCCTAAGGAATTTTGAAGTTCTAAATAAATTTTATCAACAGCAACTTAAAAAAAATAGAAAAAAAAAGTAAATTGTTTTACACGATCTATTGTGACGTCATCTATGAGTTTATTGCGTAATATTCATATTTGTATAATATTCATAATCATTTCCAGGCGAGAAACAAATAGTTATATCAGTTGCAAAACAAACAGAAAAAGTGCTAAAAATCTTGATTATTTGCACATTTTCTTATCTGCGTACATTTACAATCTTTCTTTTTTATATTTTTTGTTTTGGGGGGCCATGGCAGATGAATAACACTTTTACTTCAATCGTTAAGATTGCTGATCTAACGTTATCCCTATCGGTAATTTTCACCTGAAGGGTGGCTAAAGTAAATTGTCTACCTAATTTATTGTTCAGCCTATGTTCTTAATGATAATGATTAGACTTAATTACTCATTTTGTAAACTATTTTAAAATTTTTACAGCAATTGCGATGCCTTTAATTAAAAAATAAGTTCACATTATATTTCTCAACTTGAAATCCGGGATGACATATAAACTCAATTTTAACATTGGCCGCAGCAAACGCGATTCACAAGATGTTGTTAAATCGAAACATTGTTGCGTTATAAAAAATATATATAAGTTTCATGAATCGCGTTCATTGCGGCCAAAGTGAATTTTGCGATCAAAGATATAAAAACTGCCATTTTTGGAGCATATATTGATACATGGAATGGTTTTGAAATTTACGTAGCGTTTGTGTGACGTTTTGGCGCCATTTTACATCCGTGATCAGATGGACCTGATCGTGTACAAAATATATCAACACTTTATTTCTGAAGATATCATTGTTTATTTTTGACGAATTTCCTAGGCCGATAGTGGTAACAACTGTATTTTGTTCTTTGCTCCTTTATCATCTGACCTGTTTTTACATTCCTTCTTCGAGAGAAGAAACACTTGATGTATCTTTGACAGTTAGATACTTTTATATCTAAAATCATGCTTTATAAATCAACTAAGTACTTCCATTTATATGTCAACTCGACATAAAGTTGGAACAAAAGACAGAACAGAGTCTGCCACATCAATTTCACATCTTTTGTGTTACTGACTATGGACGATGAGGATTAACTGACTACTACATGTAAATCAATTGACAAACGTTAACTAGACGTAGCTTTTCCAACTTGTCAACTTTCCTTCTTCTTATGTAGTAATATTCCTGACTACAGTCTTACAGAAAAAGATAAAAACCATTTTAAATATTATGTTAATAAAAAGTTAATAGAAAGTTATAAGCAGAATAAATTTTTGTCTCAGTTGTGAGTTCTTCATTAAAACGAGCGCCATAATAAGATTTTTGAATAATAAAAATTAATTTAAAAAAATTACGGAAGCCGGTGGGTGCCATGAAGAAAAAATATTTTATCTGGCGGCCGTCAGATGAGGTTTGTTTTTTTTTCAAAAATATTTTTTATTGACAAAAACATTTAAAGATTAGGGTAGAAAATTAATAACAAGTTTTGATTAAATCTAAAGAAAGTATTTCCTTTATAACGATATTTTAATGCTATATTTGAGGTAAACTAAGAAGGGTGGAACGGGGGGGGGGGGGGTAGGTGGATCCAAAATTGAAATTTAAGATTATTTCCAACATATAACATTTTAAAGCATCTAGATAGAAAATTAATGACTTGTTTTGATACATTCTAAAAAGTGTTTCCTTATTGAACGGATAGTGCTAGGTGAAGGCAACTGAGAAGGATTAACGTGGGGGGTTGGGGGGTTGGAAAATTGGCCTGTAATTAAAGGCACGGGAAAATCTATAAAAGGCTGAAACAAAGAATGCTATATGTACATGCTCTTCTTTGTCTTCATAGCTGATGATTATGTGTTCTCTTTATATGGTCTTGTTCACGTCTTGTTGAAGTGTCGTAAATCTACACTTGACCTTCGATACACATGTAGGTAGCTACATAGATATTTGAAAGCATTCTGATCAAAAATCTAACAATGGCCTCTAAAGACGACCCCTGTACCGGTAAGACATCAACTTAAATCTAATTTTTAAATTTCATAATTAACACTGATCTTTATGAAAAACATGAAGTCGCCGAATCAGATATGTCGTTCATTATACACTTTAAGTTGAAAATAATGTCAAGGCAAAGCTTTAGTATCTGAATTTGAAATTTATCAATTACAAAACTAATCATTAACACAGATTTTATCCTTTATATAACTCGATCAATTTTTCTTTTCACTGTACCAATGTCACATGTACCATCTTTAATTTGAAATCTACTGAAAAGATAGCTTGAACAATGCATTACTTTACATTATGAAATGGAATTCAAGTTGAAGGTTTTTTTAATGATTTTAAAATCTCGCAGTGGAGAGAGACGAATTTCCTTCAATTTCGGCAGAACCAGAAGAAAGCACATGGTTGTCAAAGATAAAGATGGTAGCAAAGAGAGGTTTTCTCTGTCTACTATTGGTGGCCTATATTGTTTACTTCTCCTTTGCCATGGTGATGAACTTTGAGAAAGCCATTCCTCTCCTGTGTGTTACTGTACTTGTATGTTTCTACGTGAGCTGTACATTTGTGAAAAGAAAACTCGGAGATCAGGTGGCCGAAATCTTACGATGCAGGAAATTGAAAGATATTTCCATGTTGAGGTCGAGAAAATTCAGCATGTATGTATAATACAGGACATAAGATTATTTTTGAAGCACTCTTGAGCAAAAGAATGCTAAAATTTACAGTATTCTACATCTTAAATTTTCAAAATTGAAATTGTTAGTTAAATATACCTTCATTAAACTAAAAGAATTTTATAGTTACCGAGAATATAACCTTAACACAAGATTGTAAAAATATTAGAATGTACCTCTATTTTCGGTGAAGTAGACCTTTATATATTTTTCTCTCAGAATCATGTATGGTGGGACTTCAGTGATATTAACAGGTGTCATGATCTTCATTAATCTTCCCAGTCCAACAAACCTCATTTCTCTTGGTGGAATATTCACTTTGTTGCTGTTTAGTTGGCTGATCTCCTATCACAAAACAAAGGTACAATAGAAATCACTTAAGATTATCTTATTATTTCTTTCTGAAAACAAAATCTGAAAATTTAAAATTTTTTGTATAAAATGCTTAGGGTTATTGGACTTTGCTCTGATAAAACTTTATTGAAATTAAAATTTTTTTTCAAAAGCAACTATATAGGACAAAACTGCTTTGCACCCTGTAGGTAGATCCGCGCCCGGTTGTGTGGGGCCTTACACTGCAGTTTCTGCTTGGACTCTTCGTTCTCAGAACCAGCATAGGGCAAGAGACCTTCTCTTTCCTTGGAAAACAAGTGGAGAATTTCCTAAGTCACGTGATCGCTGGAGTGGAATTCGTCTTTGGCGAAAACTACAAAGACTTTGAATTTGCTTTCAAGGTTCATCGCCAATTGACAAATATTACTTGTATTTTCAATAGAAAACATTGATTCCAAAAAGGCCAGATGTTAAATTTTCTTTCATTAAAAAAAATGCAGAACCATCTCAGTAAAATTTAAGCCAAACTGTGAACTGGTGTTTGTTTAAGTGAAATTGAAAGAAATAAATGAAAAATTAAAAGTCAGAAATTGTGATTATATCAGGGTATCGTTGATAAAAAGCACCATCTTTAGAGGACTTCCCCTTCTTATTTTATTCAGCTGATGCCCACGGTGATATATGTGAACGCTGTGGTGTCCATTTTGTATCATTTTGGAATAATGCAGTCTGTCATTAAGAAGCTGGCGGTCGTAATGCACTACACTATGGGAACATCCGGGGCTGAGACCTTGTGTACCGCATCCAGTATCTTCCTTGGGCAGGTCATGTCCAATTTTAAACATGCAAATTCACAAATCAAAGCTTTAAATTGCTTCTTTAATCCAAAACTGCAGTATCATCCTTCCTTTTTATACAGCCCGAGGCATCTTTTACAATACGTCCATATCTGGAAAAGATGACGCATTCTGAACTCCACGCTATCATGACAGCAGGGTTTGCTAGTGTTACAGCGGATGTGTTTGGGCTTTTTGTTGTGTATGGAGTAAGTTCTAAAAATTCAACTGCGTAATTTCTTGCTGTTTACCATCAATTTAAATCAAAGATATACATATTAAACAAAATATAATTGTTTTCTACTTGCATTCCAAAATATTCAGAATTAATTTAGAATGGATAATATTTAACATGATGTAATTGTCATTCAGTAGATCTCATCGGCACACATCTTGACTGCAGTTTTAATGTCGGCTCCTGCAGGACTGGCTGTATCTAAGATAATATATCCGGAAGTTGATGAACCGGAAACGAGAAACCTTACAAAGTTAGAAGACGATAAAAGCAGGTATTTAATTGTTTAATTCATTTTTTTTCTTAGAAAGAAGAGATTATTTTAGTGCAATTACTCCTGACTTATGTCTTTAACTTCTTATAGACCAGTGTTTACGAGTATCTGTCATAAATTATCATTGCTTGATTTTTTTTAGCTCACCTGAGCCAAAGGCTCAAGTGAGCTTTTCTGATCAAAATTTGTCCGTCGTCAGTTATCGTTGTAAACTTTTCACATTTTCATCTTCTTCTCAAGAACCAGTGGGCCAATTTCAACCAAACTTACCACAAAGTATCCTTGGGTAAAGGGGAATCAAGTTGTTCAAATGAAGGGCCACGCCCTATTCCAAGGGGAGATAATTGTGAATTAGTGAAAAAATAATGGCATTTAAAAAATCATCTTCTCAAGAACCACTGGGCCAGGAAAGATGAAACTCATGTGGAACCAATCTCAGGTAGTGTAGATTTACATGTAAGTATGTTCAAATCATGACTCCAAGGGGTAGCATGGGGCCACAATGGCCGATCAAAGTTTTACATAGGAATATATAGGAAAAATCTTTAAAAATCTTCTTCTCAAGATCCATAGGGACAGGAAAGATGAAACTCATGTTGTATTATCCTTCAAGTTTGTTCAAATCGTGACCCCCGGGGGTAGGGTGGGGCCACAAGTGCAGACCCTCAGTAAACTTTTCAATTCTGATCTGCTTTGTGCTTTTTCTTAGCCGCTGTGCCCAGGTGAGTGGTGTGGCCCCTGTGTATTCATTTTCTCTAGAAAATAATTTGTAACTCACAAAACGAAAGCTTTTAAGTGAAAGTAGAGATTTTAAGAGAATTTATCTTATTTAGAAAAGCAGCATCAATTAAAAAGAAACATATTACAAAGAAAATATATTTCAATGTAAGTGTAAGTGACATTAATAGAAAATAGAAACAGAAATTTACAAAATTTAATATAATTATATATTTGTTTAGCACGGAAACAGCCAACGTGGTTGATGCGGCAGCCAAGGGGTCAGCAGAAGCCATCTATGTGGTGTTTGCGGTGGTAGCCAGTTTGATTGCCTTCCTCAGTATACTACACTTCATTAATGCCGTCATCACTTATCTCGGAAGTCTAGTGGACATCGAAGGACTCACCCTTGACGTGAGAATACTAACACAGACACTCTAAACAGAAAACACCTTCAAATTCTGGAAAATTTAGTTTAAAAATTCTTAACATTCATGAGAAACGAGAGAAATAGCAAAAGAGATGTTCAATATTGTCAACCGTTGCTTCAGGTTTCAGATATTTTAAGTGTTGACGACCCCCCTGTTTCAGGTAATACTGTCCTATATCCTAATCCCTGTTGCCTTCCTGATGGGGGTGCCTTGGTCGGACTGTCGTGTAGTCGGGGAGGTCGTGGGGCTAAAAACCATCATCAATGAATTTGTAGGCTATGAGAGACTTGGTACATATATCAAGGCCAACAAAGTATCGGTAACATTCGCTTAAGTATAAAATATTCTTAAGGAGAATTAATGAATTTCATTGCAGATATTCACAGATGGAAACATCAGCAAGAATCAAAATAAATTGCGAATTTATGATCAAATTCATTTATGAATAGGGAGATTAATCAAAAAAATTTCATATTGCTCATGTTTTAAACGCTCATTTTTTCATTACAATATTTTCCTATTAGAGAAGGGCAGAAACAATAGCTACATACGCACTGTGTGGTTTTTCTAATCCCACCACAATCGGGATAACTTTATCCGGACTTGGCGCTCTTATTCCTTCGCGAAGGAAGGACTTGGCAAAATTAGTCATGACGTCATGGATTGCTGGAAGCATAGCTTGCCTCCTTACTGCTTGTTTTGCAGGTAAAATTGTGGAACAATTTCTTTACAAGTTACGTGTGCGTCTTTTGAAATGTTAAATACATCTTTTTTTCTACCTTTTGTAGGACTGATGTACATAGAAGAAATAGAAAACATACTATACACCTCTGGATCCAATGTAACTTTAAATATAATATCTAGTTTGACTCTAAATGTGACGACAATTTTACCAATAACATGAGAAGCTTTTGAAATAAATAAATGAGTGCTGGTAGTTACGTTAGCTCTTTTTATTGGAATACGAATGCTAGAATTCAGAATAAAGCAATCTGGGAAGATACAATGAACTTTTGTAATACTGAGTACTATCTGAAAATACATTATCTAAGATTACAGTGTATGTGTTCTGTCGTCTAACAGTGCAACAAAGTACCAATAACGTAGGCTCTAATACCAAGTCTGAAGAGCTCAATGACCAAAATTGCTCATAAAAATCTCGCATTTCCTAATTATCTTTTCAGAGAAGATGCTTTTGCCAACAAATAGTACTACACAACATTTTTAACTAGGTGATCACTAGTATAAAAAGCACATTGATAGACAAATTGATGCCAACGTGAAGTCTTCCTGAATTTTATCGTCAATTGGAATGGAAACCACCCACTTTCATCCCAAATACAGCACTGCTTTCCTATTAATATTTCATCAATTCGACAAAATTAACCCATGTTTCAAAAATATACTCCTCTGTTTTTAAAATATAATTATATTGCTAGCTTTCAATCTTTTGAAAAGATAAGCTTGTATCACCGATATTGCTTTGAGATGATATCGATTTAAACACATTAAATATTTTTTGAAAACAATGAAGTCTATTGTCGTATAAAAGTGTTCACCGATTGCATTTATTTTATCATAACATGCAAATATTTTCCTCTTTAGAACATGACATCTGTACTGGAACACCTGACAAATTGTTGATATTATATGAAGATATGGTTTAACAATGCCCCTTTCTTTCCCTTTTTAATAAGTATAGTTCATTAGATATTAAGCAGGTACAATAGAGTCTGAGTAAACATGTACAAGCTCATAATACCCTGGCTATTCAAAAAAACCTAATGATCGATAGTAAACACAATGAATAATCTGTTTAAAACCCAGAACAAGGATTTTTTCTCCTGAATATATTCTTTGATTACTAATACAAAATAATTTGGTGAAGGGGTGCTAGCATTCCTTATTTTTGAAACATTTCTTCACAATTCAGCAAGATATACAGTACAGTAACTTTACGTCTGCTAAACTTTATACGTATATTTTTACATTTTCAAACCAAAAACTGTTGCTTTCCATAGAAAATATTTTCAACATATCATAAGAAAAAAATCAATAAAGGTTATAAATTTTCTGAGTTTTTATTGCATTATATAATATTTCCAATTTCAAATAAATAAGACATAAATAAGCACAATGATCACAGACATTTTTTTTTCAACATGGACGACTTCCGGTGCTACAGCTAGATGCGCTCGTGACGTTTGTTCTCTCACGCGTCAATGTCAAATTAGTACAATGCTGATTGGACAAAATATAGGATGTATTTGGCACAAATCACACATGAAACATAGGCCCTTTTACCATTCGAAGCCATTAAAGTACAAAAGGATTTATTTTGGAATTTCTTAAAATACTGTGTTGAGTGTAGATTTGGTCACAACATAAAGCTTTAGAGGGGTGGGGACAAAATAAAGTTATTGAGCCTTTGGATGATGGTCTTGTCTGACGTCATGGAATGATTACTGGAATGTGCTAACTAAATAAAATACAAAAAACGCAAGATAAATGGCCATTAATTATTCTGTCAGTTCTCTCATCAATATTGCATGTCAAATCCCAAAACATTCCTTCAGACAAAAAAACAAAAAGCAACATGATGACCCTCCATGCTAAAGTAATGGATATTTCTAACCTAGATAAAAAGGCGAAAGAGAAATGGACCCTTGCATAAGACACACAGAAACGTCCAAAATATCACAGATAAATTTTTATGCGAAAAAAGGCAGACGAGATTTACACGAATTCTTCCTCCTCTCCATAAGTGCACGACAATGTATTTGAAGAGCTAGACAAACTTGAAATGGACACTGCACGAACCAGTTTATTTGACTTTTCCGTGCTCAACTCTCGGTTAAGGACAGCTGTTCGGCCTGTTGTTAAAGGAGTAGCTAGTTTTGGAACTGGAGTCTTCGTTCCGGATTGACTGCGTACGTTTCCTGTTTGATCATTAGATTCAGCTCGGGCAGTAATTCCGGAAATTTCATCCATTTCATCGTCATAATATTCCCCATTTATAGTACCATTAATATTGTTGTGCACAGGGCTAGATTCTTTTTTAAATGATGTCTCTTGAGTGCCCATATTGAACAAATTTGAAAAAGATCTTGATTTTCCACTAGAACTTAGTGACTTTGGGGCTGGAATTCTTGACTTTGGTCCCTGTATATTGTCCTTGCGTGGATTTGTTTTTAGGATTTCTTTTATTTTGGATACAATTACCACAGCATGATCAACATCAGCAGTGATAGGAGATTCCGGAACCGATCCATTGCTAGATTTCATGCTAGATCGCCTTGAGGAATTTACAGATGAGCGAGTTGGAGTACTTGGCCGAGGAGGAGTTGAAACAGGTCTGTTGATTGGTTGAGATTTAGATGATGAAAACGACGGCGTTTTAGATCTGGGAGTAGACGGAACAGAGCCTTTTGCACTGGATCCAGAAGATCTGTGTGAGCTTGGTTTTCCTGCAGGAGAGTTTCCTCTTCTTTTAATGTTTTCATTACTATCCAACGATAATTCGTCACTACCTAAAGTATCTTCATTTTCCATGCAGTTAACATCAATGTCCCCCATGAAACCTCCCCCAGGAGTCTCGTTTACAGAGGCCTTAAGCTCCCTTTCACGCATTTTTTGGAAAAGCTTCTCCATGGTTTCATACATCTCAGGATCCTCAGGTGGCGCTTCTAGTTCCTCGGTTGATATATCTCGAAGACCGTTAACTGGAAGAGTCAAGGCAGCTTTAATTTCTTCAAGTGGACGCGACTCCATATCATACTGGTCAAAATCACATGGATTAGGAGTTTTTGATCTGCGTAAAATCCCAGCCGGATTCTTGTTTCTGGTGGATGTTTTATTCATAGTCTTTGCCGCCGATTCTACCCATGCCTCCGTTCTGTTAACAACATGTGAACCAGATTCCTTCCTCTGTACTTGCAGAACTTCCTCATCTTTGTTCGCTTTACGATTCCAGTTCTCTGGATCAACACTCCTAGGTCTTGGACGGTAACGAGGAGTTTCTGCAGCAGGTTTTACATTCCGAGATCTATCTAGGCTTTCAGTAGATGCTCGCTGGTTAGTTGGCGTTGTAGCACGAGCTATGATTCGGCCAGTGGTTGTTTTTGTTGTTCTGTATTTTGTTTCTTCTCCGTCTTTTACATTGATTTTATGTCGTCCACTGTCCCGATTCACAGTCACCATAATAGTTTCCTCGGTAGAGTCTTGCTTAACTGGAGTTTTCGATTTTGAGCCTGTTGCAGTGGACCTTCTTGGTGTTGCTGGACTAGCTGATACACTTCTTCGCTCTCTTTGGTTGTTGTAATCAGACTCTGGAATTTCTCGGGCTGTGAGAGTTGGTGTTTGCTGTTGGTTTTGGGTAAGTCTTCGTATGGGACTTACATAGGACTTAGGTTGCTCAGTACTAGGCTTGTTTCCTGGCCCAGGTGTCTTGGACCGAGGGATTTCAGTACGCTCTTCTTTCTCTATTTGTGAAAACTCATTTGGACCAGGCGTTGTTGATCGTCGTTGCATATACATGCTAGTGTAAGATGTGTTCTTTTTCTGAGTGTTTGCGGCAGCTTTGTTGGCGGAAGGCGATTTAGCAAGAATCGTTGCCTTCCTAGGAGTAGGTGGTCTCTCTTGGCGAACAGTTTCTGGTTGTGTTGGCTCAATCGTCTGCGTCAAACTTAAAGATTTGGAAGCACTTCCTACCGGTGTCATTGGTCTTGGAATCAAAGATGGAGTGGATGGTCTACCACTGGGTGTTGATGGACGTTTTATTGTGACTGTTTCGTTTGATGGATTGCTTGTACTTAAAGCTGAATTTTTGGTTGTATCTTCCGTTTTACTGACTTCTGTTGGCTTTGTTTCTGCCTTTTTGTTATTTTCCACAGCTATACATGCTTGTTGTGCCCGATTTCGAAGCTCCTGAATAGATTTTTGTAATGCAGTAAAACTTGCAATGAGAGAGTCATTACTTTGACTTTTTGTTCCCTCTTTTTCGGGTGTGTTTTCCTTTTCAGGTCCCGGGTCAGTAATACTGCGGGTCATTCTCGATGAAGAAACGTCTTTGGAATCACATAATGAATCGACATTATCACTAGATATAGTATAAGTTTCAGTTCCTTTGAAACTAGAGGAAGCTTCAGTTTCTGTGTCTTCTGAAGAAATGCACAAATAACTGACATTGGGTTTCACATTCTGAACAGGCCGTTCTCGTTCGCTAAGCACAGAATCCGACTTGGACTCGTGAAGTTTTTTATGAGGTTTTGGACTGTTGGAAACATTACTTTGCATTGTTCTTGTAGTATTAGGATTTGGACGAGACACTGTATATGAAGACGTCGGTGTCTTTGGTCTCGAGACATTTTGAACAGGGGTAGGTTGGACGGTGCTAACAGGTGTTTTTGGACGAGATACACTGCTTAGTGGCGTCTTAGGTCGCTGAGCAGTGCTGACTGGAGTTTTAGGTCTTTGAATATTACTTGTACTGACTGGCGTTTTGGGTCTCTGAACCGAACTTACCGGTGTTTTAGGTCTTTGAACAGTTGAACTTACAGGAGTTTTGGGTCTTGACACAGAACTAGACACTGGTGTTTTCGGTCTAGAAATAGTAGAAGAGGCCAGTATTGTCCGTTTTGGTTTCTCCATTTCGAAATATCCATTACTTGCATTCTGTCCATTGAAAGACTTGGTATCCAAACTGCGACTAACATTTCCAGTATACTTATACCTGGATGGTTTTTCACTAATTGGCGGCTTTTTCACAGATCTGTTCCCACTATATGATGATATGTTTCGTGAACTATCAGTGCTACTCTGTGATCTTGGAGATTCAAGACTTCCTTCAGAGGCATTTCCATTTGGAACTGATAGCGCACTATTCAGTAAGTTTTTAAACTCATCCAAAGTCATTGTACTGATTTGGTTGATATCAACAGATGGCTGCATGGAGTTGGAGCCTGAGGTATCGTCTGTTCCTACACTGTCATTTCCCTCGGAATCCATGCTTGGGCGCTGAGGAAGCTGGCGACGATCTGCACGTGGAGTATTTGGAATTGATTTTGATCTGTAAACAAAACAAATCTTATTTAGATCATTTGACTGATCAGTGTGATATGATTTCTAGATTACACAGTCACTTTACGATACAATACAATACAGTAAATCTAGGTCTGAATAATAAAGAATCCTTAAAAGTTCTAATGAAAAGACACCACTTACTCACAAACAGAATCTTAAACAAAACTAAAAGACGATCTTTTTCATATCCTCAAGCACATAACCAAAACGTTAACTGGATACTGTCCAATATCAAGGAACTTTAATTTTATATCATGTTTCAAGTATTCAATTAGTCTGCTTTTTCACGATGACCAACAGTTCAAGACCAGTCTTACAGAAACCTTGGAATGCTGACGCATTTTAAAAATGCAATCCCTATTGAAAGAAATGCCCACACAATTACTATTTAGAATTCTAATCAATGCCGTTTTAAAAATCTGATCGAAACAATTGAAACGTAAACACATCATATAAAAATTCATTTAAATAGATTGCTATTTCTACCTGACGCTTTTATGGCCTATTCCACTTTTAAAATTGAAATGATTTTTTTTTCAATACACTTGATGAAATTCTCCTTATCGAGAGGAATAGTTAATCCCACTGTGGCAGGCCTTTGTAGTGAAGAGATAGGGTTCCTCACAACCTAAACAAGACGCTAGGAGGAATGAAAATCGATACACAGAATTTGTAACAGATCACGAAGAAAACGGGTGAAATTCCAACCACATTCAGGATATCTGCCAACTGGTTTCGATAGGGCCATGTCGTCAGTTGCCGATAATTACCCCGTCTTTGGCGGGTTGTATCTGTTTTTATGTCACCATACGCAGGTCGTAAAATAATAAAACACACACTTTAAGTCCAAACGATTACGTATATATTCTTTCTTTGCTTCGCGACTACTGTCTCCAGACAAAGGAAATATATTGCAGATTTGGTTATCTCCATTACGGATCGAATATAAGTATTCTGTTGAAGGGTTGAATATTCGAACAATGTCTTTAAAATTTCAAGTTTAAAGGTAAATTTATGAAAACAATATTTAAATGTCAAAAGAAACGAAGCACAAGGTAGTTTTATTCTCGAGACATAAACTTTAAGATGCGTTCGTGCACGTTTAGAAAAGTATGTATGATTAAATATCTACCGCGGTATATACAAACATTCCGTTTAGGTGTGTGTGAAAATCTTTAGAAAATTAGAGAAGGTTTTTGTCGATTTATTTGATATCTGATGGTTATGTCAAAAGAAAAGGATTTGTTGTCGAAAGTCTTACATGAAAGTGAATAATGAAGGGCTCATAAGCTGATTTCGAGACAAAGAAATTTAAATGGTAGTACCTAATTTGATAAATCTCAATCTGCGAACCTGCATGTTTCAGACATTTGATACTGGTTAATTGTCCATTAATGTCATTACAGACAACAATATGTGCAGATTACTTGAAAAGGTCCTTCTTGCGATCACACTAAAGAGAACATAACACTGCCTTTCAATGTGATTCTACCTTAACCCTGAAATTCCAACACCCTATTTTTCATTTAATAACAATGATGAATTGAATGAAATTTCAGGAATGAGAAAAATCGAAGAACACTATTGAATAGGTTTTTGTTCCATTTTATTCAAAATCATTGTGAGATCAATAAGTGAGCAAAATGACACCCTCATTTCATATGTGCCAACAATGAAGTGCTCAATATTCCTTTCATTTATTGAAGATAGAGGTGAAAATTGATTTTCTCTTACCTTGAATAATTGGAGACGAGAGTTGCCTGGCTATTCTTCCTACTTGGCGCCGGGGACATGGAAACATGAAATGACGGTGAGGTACATCTTTTGGGGGCCGGGGAAGCGCTCCGTGCACTGGGGGACGGGGACGGGCATCGTTTGGTAGGGGATGCTGGGCGCGATACTTTGGTCGTCTGCTCACGTGGTTGCAATGCCTTATTGATTCCTGACACGGGTGACGGTGATCGCAGGCGACTAACAGGGGCCGGAGACTGGCTTCTTCTGGAATTGGCGATCACTGTACTAGTCCTCTGACCACTAAAATTGACATTATTTACATTTCCCGTCGGAGATAGCGGAGAGACGGGAGGTTTTGTTCCATAGTTCTGAGTGACACTTTGAGTGTTAAGCTTTCCTGGAGAAGGGCCAGGCGACGCGCTACGCATGCGTGCTGGCGAATGAGTCCTTTCAGAAGCTTCCGAAATGGAATGCGACACTGGACCAACTGAGATTTTTCTGGGAGACTTCAATGGCAAGGTCTGAGACAATGAGGGGGTACTCGCCCGGCGGGTGGGGGTTCCCTGGGGTCTTTGAGATTGTGGAACTGGTGTGTTTCGATGACCTGTAGATAGATAAAAATTGTGTCAGTAAGTTCAGAATGACGAACTCTTAAGGTAGTTTAAATGTTTGTTTTCATAAAAAAGACCAATGACGCGGATGTTGATATAATGAGATTTACTTCAGTTTTGATCTTTGTTTACGGGTTTCTAATGTTTAGTCACCCCCAAAACAGGAGTGGAAATGTCAATAATTTTAAAAACTTTAGAAACTTTTTAAAATAGATTTTTTTTTAGACTTTCAAAGGAGTCTAGATATTTTGAGACAGATTCTATTGAAAAACTGAATTTGTGAAAGCAGATGTTTATATCTTGTCATATCACGACCTGTTTAAACTTACAAGAGATTAAAAATAATTTAATCAAGATATAACTCTATTTAAAAATCCTTTGATCTTGGGCTATGTCAATCGTCGTTACAGTTCAATAATGCACAATGAAATTTTTTTAATGATTATTATTATATATGTAACATGCCTCATCAACTATTTCAGGCGAAATAATAACAGGTGTTTTGGAAATACAACTGAAATGCAGAATCATTTAAGTGGGCATGACTCTGCACACAGAAATAAATTAAAGTGTCTTTTTTATCATTTAACACATGATAAATAAAATTCTACATAAGATTTAACATTTTCAAGAGATTAAGAATGCAAAATATGCTAATACAAAGGTGCACAAATTATTAAACTTTATTTCAAACATCATGATTCAGAAATGTAAAATTCCGTCTTTAGGATTAGATCTTTTAAAGAACTTGATTTCATTCAGTGCAAATCCTTATATTATCCGAATCAGAGTGTGATTTTCATACATAATCACATTAATAAAGTCATAAGTAGATATATTTTCTTGATTTGTTACGCAAACTCTCCTTCAACAGTGGGCCCGAGGTAAACCTGGATTTATTAACCTTACCTTATAATTGCAAAGCAATAAACACAGGAGTGGGTCTAAAAATTTATGATTCTCGAAAAGATTGTCTTTGAGGGAAATGACCGATTTTGGGTTTCTCCGCAACCGAAATGTTAGGTTCATTTTTTATACGTTAATTTTGAAATAATTTTATTTTGCGGGAAGACTTTATAGGTTTCATGTCTATCATTTCATGCGAGACAACAAATTCAATCATATCTTTACTTTTTCTTACATACCTAAGGACATAGATTTACACTGTACATTATAAAATCAAGGGTCTAGCAAATCAATATTCGATTGAAAGATACCATTTATTTACTTAATTTCCAGGTAATTTGAAACTATTGGCCGCAGTGATAACCCACTGTGAGGTTTTATCACACTCCAAATTTGACTTACTTATCTTAGTTTCTGAAATATCTTAATTAAAATTTGTTTAAACTCAGGGAAAATGTACTAAGAGTTCATAAATTGAATGAATGCGTTCTAATACACGACCTTTAATTGAATGCCCACCAATGGCAAAGAAACCATTCTCGGGGGGTAGTTATGAATAAATTCAACTAAAAAACCATTCAAAGTATCTTTTAATAATATTCATGGGTCTAATAAATCACAAGAAGTGGTCTGAAAAATCTCGTTAAGTATATTTATCCAGCACTCAATACTTGGTATGGATAAGTCATTTGCATATATTATATATATAGACGTATAAACTTATACCTGTAATAATGTCTATAGCAAAGGATCAAGGTTTAGTTAGTCGTGCAAAAATAACAGAACGCTACAAAATCAGGATATTTTTATCTTTTATATTTATTTGCACTTTCCAATATGAACCATGTGTCTTCTCTTTTACTTCAAAACATTCAATAAATCGTGTTGATTTATGATGTTTATTTCCTATTCCGTATTCATTACATAGAATCGGTCCATTTTGTCTGACGTCACATAGTTTAAATGGGCCAGTATATTGAGTATATTTTCAAAGAGAATTATGGTAGGATTACAAATATAAAGGAATTTATACTTATTAAAACTCGATCTCAATTAAATTCCACCCATATATGTTTTGGTAGACAGGAAATTATTACCTTATTAGGCACAGGGCAATTTATTTTTGCAAAATTTCACGGATTGTCCAGAGGAAAATCCTTGTTCCTTACTGCATGAATATTGAATAAAAATCTTGTCTTCAAAATGTTTCTGATGGGATGGCACTGAATGAACTCTTTCAGATATTATTTCCAAGATTCAAAATTTTCAAAATTAAAATTTATTTTTAAAAAAAAAAGTGTTCAAAATCAGTGACCAATATGTGAAAATACCAAATACCAGAGGCACATATGTATGCCTTTCACCTTTAATTAAAATTGGAAACCTTTTCATACCTTCATACCTTTACTTAAATGTTAAAAATAACTGGTTGGTCTAAAATAATATTAATTTGGTACGTTTATAGAACGAATTGATTCTGGATATTTAATTTTATTAATTAATAGGACTGTTTTATTACGAACAATGCCTGTACAATTTTATAAAGCACCGCTAATGTATGTCAATAGTAATTCTATTGATCATGTGGTATTGATCTTTTAGCTGTTCAAACTTTTAGTGACTTTCGAGAATTTATCGATTCTACACCTGATCATAATAGAATGGGAATATCTTTTAAAAACAGGATACATCGAATTTTAGCGATTGCCGTCTTTGTAAAGAGAAAAGGTCGAATCATAAAGACTTGGAAATTTCATGCAAAAGCGTTTTTTTGTTTTTGTTTTCAGTCTTCAAAATATATGAAATAAGATAAATTTAAAGATCCATTCTGGGGGAGATGAATGAAAACAAAGGCTAATACGAATGAAAGCGATGGAAGGGGGGGGGGAGTAAATCTTACCAGAAAATCCACAGCGACAGGGGTCGTGCTTATCTAAATAATGTTCTAGTGTGTCCCAGCCGCCACCCACCCGGATCATCACATGCTTACGTAATATCTAAAAAAAAAAGTAGAGAAAAATATATTATACTCATTCGCATTGCTACATGTATTACAATTTCACAGCAAAAAATTCATAATATCGGAGCGTCAATAAGTTTTGCTTATTTTATGGAAAATAATACATAAGTAAATAGCTGTTTAGTTTTTTCCTGATATCTGAAAAGAAATTATAAATCCCGACTTACCCTCACAAAAACTAGTGTCTGAGAATCCCCTATTTTGTATTTTCCCTCCCCGACCTTGATGATGGGGAATTGTACAGGGCAGGTACATCGTCCGGCCAACCACTTCACCTAAAAAAATGAAATAACTAGTGTAAAATAAATAATACGTGGAGTATATACAACGAAAAAAATTCAGAAATATGAAAGAAATTGCAATTTTCTTCGTTTTTTCAACGTTCACACACTGAAAGTTTGGAACTTGCAGCAAATTGTATTTAGAGTTATCTCTCTTACATAGCTTCGAACACTGCCGTCATTTAACATTTTAACATTTAAACTAGAGATAACCTGGGACACTTTATAGATTCTCAGATCATTATCATCGGATCATTATGATGTCAAAAGACTAAATCACACTGTAGTATCATTACACCTTCGTGAAATTACAAACTTTCTGGTCGGAGATGAATTGATTTTTAATGATAGTACACTGCATGATTCAATCATGATAAATGAAAATTCGTAATCTTTCGAACTATGGAACTTTGAAAAATAAATAAATAATGGAAACCTTAGATATGAAGTAAGTGTTTTATTTCAGTGTGATGTTTAAAATAATTGTTAGCAAATGCAGCATCCTTACAATACTTGGTTTATTGCAGACTCGACAGATTTCTAAAAATCAGGTAATTTGACCTATTGGATATTGTTCAAGAAATAAATAAATGTGGGACACGACAAAAACAATTCTACAATGACGGCAACCTAACCCTCTTACACCAAACGTCAAAAGGTTCTATCCGATGTGTATATTTTTAATATAAAAGATCCACAAATGAAGGCACGCCATGGTCGTAGGAAAATATCTATCTGGTTTCACGATCTCTAAACAGAACAAGAAATTGGCCGACTTCTCTCTTTTCTTTTACACGATAAATTGAGTGCTTTCAGTCATTAATTCACACAATAGAAAGAACGTAAGGTACACTGTATTTTAACTAGTAACAATAAATTAAAGAAACTATAAGGTGGAAACAATAAATAAAAGAAACTATGAGTAGAATTTTTAGCAAGGATTTAATTTTGGCATTATTAGCGAGGGTGCCAAAATCGCTAAAATTGAATATCGCTAAAAAGAAATTGCGTTTTATTTGTAGTCAATTCTTTAATATGCATTTTAAAATCGATAAAATTACATTTCGCTAAAAATTAATTACCAGTTCTTAAGGACAAATCGCTAAATTTGCGTCTCGCTAAAATTTCCACTTATACTTTATTAACTTACTTTATCATCAATATCGGGGTGAATGGGAATTTTCTCTAATCGGGCATCATCCAGTTTTTGAAGAACTCTTATTATATCATCGACAGATGACAATCGAACCACTTCACTCTTATTAACGGCGTTTTCTGAAGTTTGCACTTTTTCAAAATTTTCAGTGAAACCATTTTCCTCTATCGAGACTGTAACACCCATTATTTGCAACTTCCAGAAAGTGTTTATACTAGGAACTGTTATTATACTAGGAACTGTTATTTCCACGTAAACGTTAACTTAAGTTGTTGAAATTGGTACTTTAGTTTATATAATCCTTTTAAGATTCAAGACCATAAATACTTCTTAGAATATACAGAGCATGCAAAAATTGTCACAAAAAGAAAGCAATAAGCAAAATGCAGCTTAAAAGATGCACAAATATCTAAATAACAATAATCCATAAAGAACGTAGAACAAGTTCTGCGAAAAGGAGATTCTGCAAAAGTAAGTCAAGATGGAGAAATGAAACTTGACAGAACATGGCTTCTGATGTTAAGCTGCCATAACTGTGACCCGCGTGCCAGTGGAATCAATGTAGTAGAATTGTCAGCCGTGGGTGCCTACAATATTCATAATGGACGCAATATTTACCAGAACCTCTCACTTTAATTGATTACGATCGATTCGGTTAAAGACATGTTACGACAAATGCTTTTACCTAAAACAAATGTTCATTGTTTAATGTTTCACGGTGCGCTACCCTCTTTTCCCTTTTTAACTTAGGTAAATGTATATATTCTGTGATGTTAAATGGAAACTCGCAAAGCATTTATGTTTATTATCGATACTTTAAATATTGATTTAAATTGTGTATGGAACAACAAACAAAATGTATGTAAAGGGATTTTTTTAAATCCTTTATATTTCATTGAACTTTTGTGAGAGATTTTCCCAGACACTACTGATAAACATATAGTGTACCAGAAAGTACAATTTTTGGCCAGCACACTAAATACACACACACAGTCATTTACATTTTGAGGGCATTCAATTTACTTTATTCCGGCAAGGAGAGTTCGATATGAAAATTGGACGTCGACCCCTTGTTGACATTTTCTTTAGGAATGTTGATTTGAATGAATCAATCATTGATTTCTCTTGAATACAGACAAGATAAGACTAATCCATACTAAGTCAGTGCTACATTCCAAAGCAAACCTTTGTTTGGGCATAGGGCCTTGTAAGTACCATGACTTGATATAGCAGTCAGATCAAGAGGGCAATAAACCAAGACTTAAGACAAGAGGGATTGATTTTTGGTTACAAATTTGTTACGTTTCACTACGACATAAGACCGCTACTCATGTCGTTTAATTAAATGAAAATCATTAAGCTATATCCGATAATTCCCAGCCCTTAAACCCATGTATATGTGTCCAGTTCAATATTTCCATTTATACAGATAGGTAATGCTCTTGAAACCTCATTTGACAAGAAGATTATATCTTGAAAACTTTGAGAGATTCTTTTTAATCTTTTGAAGTTTCGCACTGGCTTTCATGCTGTGTTCGACGTTCTTCATTCCATATTTCACACAGAAATGATATTTTAGGTTTGGAAAAATTTGTGTTTACAGATAATAAATCTTGATTCTTGCCAAGAAAAACTCTGATCATTTTTAAACCGGTGCCAAAACGTGAAGAAAGATACTTAACAATGCGTTCAAAGATGTTGGATCGTCTTGTTAAAAAGATAAGGAATACGATTTACAATATGTTATAAATTTTACAGTTTTTCGTGTAGTTCTGTATGAGTTCATGTCAAAACTACAAGAAACAAAAAGAGGAGAAAGAGTGGGCTCCTAATGTCTTTGTTCACAACTCCATCGCACAATCTGTTTTATAAAGCCGATCTACGACCAACTAACAGCTGTTTGCACATCTTCTTAAATGCTAAGGAAAGGATATACGATCGAAGCTTGTTTTGATGTTAGTGCAAGTCCAGTAAGAAAGAAATATAATTTGTTTTGATCAAGGCATCTTTTACTTTGATACATTACGGGTTCGTGACAAAATCGTATCAAACACACTTTCCCGTGTTTCTTATTCGCATTTCTTTTCCATTCGGATTGTAAACCAACACACCCATCTCTTTCAATTCCAATCGAACGCGACGACGAAGTTTTTCACAATAAACAGGACATAACCATTATCTGTGTTACATTCCGGAAAGAACATTAAATCGGGAATAACTTGTTCAAAGATAAATGGAATTCTTGCTTATCAAAAACATCTAAAAAAAAATTAAAACCATTTAACACTCTTTGCTATTAAAGTGTAGGGCAGACAAACGTCATCCATTACATACATCAAAACAAATTCATAGAATACTTTGATCAGATCTGCACTACATACATCATGTATTTGATTCAGGTTTATGAATTTATGTATCAATATACATTATCTCTCAGAATGACTAAACCCGTTTGACTCCCATTTGTGATCTAGATATAGTAATCTTTTCGGGACAATTTACGAGTATTCATTCATTTGCCAAGTAGGCCCTGTGATCGTTATGTTACGGTTATTAACTTTTCTAACACATATTACTAAAATTATGCCAACACTTGTCCTCAGTCATAAACGTCTCATGATAATCTCTCCAGAGATCGGACCTTTCAGGCACAAGTCCGTCGTTATCAGGAGGAAAAATTGGCAGGATATCACCAATCGGATCTTGGGTCACTGTTTGGAATCCAAGATTGAAAGAATCCTTCCTCAAAGAAAGAACCCTTCCTCAACCTTGAAATCGTGATCCAAAATCCCCGAAAGCAAATGCTCCAAAATCCCAGAAAGCAAAGCTCAACTTAAAGGATATGACCTACCTCTTCTTCGCAATTCGCTAAATCCCAATCAAGCCTAAAATCGCTGGAATAAACCTCCTCATCCTGTGTGATCCCAGGGGATTGAATGTCTTTGCAATCCAAGACAACGGGCATTATTACAGCAAACTTAGCAACTTGCCGATATTTTGAAAATTTTCAACCTTTTTGGTTGCAATTTTTCTTGCAAAGATTGCATCCACGGAACCCCTTAACAACCAAACACAGGACTGCACCGAAAATTTGTGTTTGTGTCTTCATATCTGCAGTTCAGAATCAGAACCTTTTGATTAGAAGAGGACAATAAGACTACACAATACCTGCCAGGCAATACACAAACCAGAACAGTTATCAATCATAACGCCATGCTAATAATCTTAATCAAAATCTTAACTTGGGTATATTTGGGTACAAACAATGGCATTATTGCCAGTAATTATCAACAATCTTTATATCTTGCTTCTCGTGAAACAGTCTGTGTGCTGTAGGGGCACACTTAACGTGTCATTAGGGGTGGTTTAAAACAATTTCAAGCTCAGTCAAACCTGAAATCGGAAGGTCTGCAAACTATGTTGTGTTTCAAGCAACGACAAGCGAAAACAAGGGTGTAATTAAGTTCTCTGTCTTAAGCGTCTTAGTAATGATAAATATCGCACAAAGTGCATATAGCTAATCCGCGACATATCTTAAAAGGAGCTGTAGCCGGAACTTTCCTTATAATAATCAATGCATGTGATTTAAATCAAACGTGTCAATCATATCAATTGACAAAATTGGTCACAAGAATTAAAACGGAAGTTTGAAATTGGGCAAAAGTTTTCTCACTTGTGTCTATTGCAACTGATGACACTTTGTCAATATCAAGCTTAGCTAGCTATTGTAAATATCCTGAAAGGTTTTGTAATTGAATTTAGGAAAGTGCCGAATTTGAATGATGTGGTAATTGCTTATCTATAATGAATTGATAGGATGGTTGCGTGGCTATGTACA